AAAAATACCCATCGAAAACATTATTTATTCTCATGAAATGGCGCGCGCTTGTCCCAAACGCAAATTTAGAAACCCAATATAATATGAAATAATGATGATATCATGCCGCCTCATTCTATTTTAATAAGTGAAATCATCATTATGTATCTAACTGTTGTGCGATTTGTTATGATATCTTTTTATTTTTCGAGCCGGTTTCTATAGGATGGTTTGGTTTAATTTTTTTTACTTTTTTCCGATTTTTTTAATATTATTTTCGCGTTTTTTATTGAGACGCTGAATCCTGTGGATGGGACCGAAACGTCTGTTTTTTTTAATTTAGATCAACGTACGAGGGATTCATTATATGTGTGTGTCTCCTTGAATACAGGGTGCGATTAAAAAGTTCTCTAAAAGTAAGATATGCATTTATATTTCCAAATTATTTTTTTATGAAATATTTGTCGTAACAACAGAATAATTTCCTGATATACAGGGTGTCACAATATTTCATGGACATAGAACTACTACGTATTTTTGGAATCAAAATAAGTTTATTGGACACAATTTACCTCTATAAAAAGTGTTTCGTTTGTCCGTTAGAGGGCATCAAACTTTAAAAAAATAAACACATTTTTTTAGATATTTTAAGAACTGTTATTCCGATTTGATTGTGATTTGAGTGTGTATATTTTGTTAAGTGGTCTAACATTTGACTTTCATAAAAAGCAAGAAAAATTGGCGCCGGAAGGCACGTATAGCCGCCCATACTAAAATATGTTAATATCTCGAAAACTGCGACTTTGACTGATTTTGATGTTAACACAAACTAGGTTTTTCCCGCGACTATGTTCGCGTTACACCTCGAATAGTTCATGCATTGATTTAAATGATTTACTTTGTATATAGAGCTAGTGAGCCTTACAAATGCCCTATTTAAACTATGTTTTTAAGAGTTTTAGAGCTACTCGTATTTCATATGAAAGTTATCAATTGTCGATTTTCTGGGTATTATACAGGGCAAGTTTTGAATAAGTGCAAATATTTTCAGGGCTGGTAGATCTCGATAAAAAACCATATTTTCTCTTTACCGTTTTTCAAATAACTCTTTCGAATTACTTTAAAAATTTCCAAAAAAAAAATATTTTTTGCTTAAATTTTGAGAACCACTGCAGCTTTTCGGGTTTTTCTGTCTTGTAAATTTAATCTACTACCTATCTATGTTGTCATATTATCAAGAAATTATGGTTTTTAACTAAAAACTAAAAAAAATTCCAAAAGGTTTTTCAAAATATTCCAAATTTCTGGGGTCAAATATACCTACTACCGCGAAGAATAATTGCACTTATTTAAGACTCGCTCAACAAAAAATCGATATTGTTATTTTTGACTTATTACATATTTTTTACTTAAAATTTATAAAAAGCCGTCAACATTCCAATTTCAAGAGCATTTTTATTCTCTTTAAATATTATTATGTACTTAAGAAAATTGGAAAATTTAAAAACCGTTTTTTATTTTTTCATCGCCTGTATATGACTTTATGACACGCTTTGTATACCAAAAATAAAACTTTTGATTAGAGCCGTCTGAAATAAAAAATTTTAAAAATTCTAGAAGTTATCGAAATCAAAGTATTTCAAAGAAGTTCAATTTTGGCCACAAAATGTTTTTGAATTCTTGCTTTTTTTAACATTTTTTTTTCAATTTTTTCTAACTACTTCTATTGACTCAAACTAATTATGTATGGTTGGATAGAGGGTGGATGGTGATCTTCCAGGGCGGTTTTTTATTTCTTATTTATATATAGATTATTTTCGAAATCGAACCAAAGTCAATTTCAAAGAAATTTTGCAAAATCTGAAAAAATAAAATATCTCCAAAATAATAAATGGTGAAATGATTATTTACCCTCTATAGATAGAACCCTTACCTATGGTCCCATATAAACTGTATTACTAAAATAAATAGTTTTGAAATATGAAGTTTTCAAATGAATATTTGAAATTTTCAATTATCGCTTTACTTAATATACTCTCTTGATATTTTTTTTATTTTTAATCTCTTTTTTTGGTTTATTAAGAGCACTAATACTCTGTTTATAGTTATTTTTTATTCCTTGAAGGATAATTGAAGAAGAAATATTTCGTTTATATTATTGACATGTCACTAATTAAACCCTTGTATAAAATTTTATACAGCTAGATGTTATAATAATGCATTTTCGTACATCAAACTTTCGTTCCCTATTCTACTCCCCAAGATTATAAATTTCATAAAATCGCTTTATCCAAATAATTAACTCATGTCTTTTAAATGATCCTTTGTGCCAATTTGTATGTGTATAATCCAGAGGTCACCAAGTTTTATATAAATTTTTACTAACTTTACCCATTTGGTTGATGAATTTCAAAAATCTCTTCTAATTCTTTTTGTAGGATTTCATTCTTCTAGACCACATAGTAAGGAATTTTCATACAACAAATTGTTCCGACATAATTTTATGAGGATGAATTTCCTAAAATCGCTTTGTGTAGCTAATTCACTAATGTCGTTTAAACGAACTTTTGTTCTAATAATTATGTATCTAAAGCTGGCTGTATGAACTGATCCCTAAAATATCTAAAAACTTGATATATAATCTGACAAACCACTGACAATGACGAATAATTTATTTCTGGAGGTATTGTGTGTAGATGTTTTTCAGGTATGTTTTAATATTTAGTCAATTTACACAAAGAAATAGCCATTCAACAATTTAAAAATACTTCATAACAAATCTAGACATATATACCTTTCATTTAAAAAAAGAATCATCAAGATTGGTAAAGCAGTTTCGGCGGGATGGATGTAACAAAAAAAACATATATAAAAGCTCAAAAGCCCTTTGACCTTTTATATATGTATGGATTTTGTTGCAAATATTATTCCTAATCTTAATTTGAAAATCTTATTTCGCTAGCTACTGTAATTTTGGAGTTACGATTTTTAAACATTTTTAACCCCCTCCTATACCCCCTTACCAATCCCCCACCCCCACCAAAAAACTAATGGCCAGATTATCGGGTGCCACAGTATTTTTGTGCCAGATTTGGGTAAAATCGGTTCAGCGGTTTTTGAGTTATCGTGTTACAGACGGTTTTTGAGTTATCGTGGCAGACAGACAGACAAACACCACGAAAATATTTTGTATTTAGGTCATTTATGACCCAAATAACTCATTTTGAGTGAAATTAAAAAAACTTTTTTTTTGCTGATCCTAATAGCCTACCATACATACCTATTGGTATGGTCGGCTAAAAATTACGGGAAGGATGAAAATTACCTCCACCGCTACATAAATTTTAGTATAAATATTTTCCAACTCCACCGACGGCCGATTTTCTTTTCGTAAAATGGTCCATCTAGTATTTACTACATTTTTTGTCTCTTGTAAAAAAAACGCCACCGTGCGTAGTTTTTGATGATTTTTTTTCCAAAGCTGACTTACAAAAAAATGTCGTTTAAACGTGCTTACGTGGATAGGATGCTCTCTAAAACACTTATAAAATAAATAACTATTATATTGCGCACCTTAATATTCACCAACATTATTGTACGTAACATTTTTTTCTAATTCTCGAAAACGAGATACCGAACTTTGCTTTATAAGCCAATCATCATCAACAGTTTGCGGTTTTCCTATTTTAGAAGATAAAAAGAAATAAAATCTAAAAATGGTCATATTTCGCAACTAGCTATAGAATAGGACAATGTGTTATTTTTAGAATAGGAATTTCTTAACAAATACACTGAACAAAAAATACGATGTGAAGAGACATTAAAGTTGTACTTTTGTGTAGAATTTCGTTTCGTTTGGAATAGTAATTAAAAAGTTATTTACAAAAATCTACATTCAAATAAGTAAAATTTATAATGCGGTTCTGAGCTACAAATAAAATACCATCAAAAAATGTGATTGTGTCATTGTCAAATTCGATGTCACATTTTGTTGCGCAATATTTCATATTATGCAATAATATTGACCGTTTAGGGTTTACATTGAAAGGTTGCACAATATATTGTGTCAATTAAAAAGAGTTTGATTTCTATTGTGCAATAGTGATTAGTTTGTATCGTGTGGATAATATTGCACAATAGTTCAGTATATTTTTGTTTTCTCTGCGTGTTTGTCTCGCTGCTCGGCTCTATTTAGAATATTTAGATCAGTGATTTGTCAGCAAATATGGGATCAAAACCAAAACAGGAAGAAAGACGATTTATTTTAGAAGTCATCGAAATGTACAATTCTTTGCCAGCTTTATGGAATACAAAAAGCAAAGGATATGGCCTCTTTTCTTATACCAATCTTTCATCCATTTACTTCGACACTTTTGTTTCTTTGTTAAACAAGTGGCCAAAACAATGGCAATAGCAGCTTGTTTTTTCTTATCCATGTTAACCAAAGTGCAAAACGAAACTAGTTATTCAACAAATTTATTGTACTGTTTGGAGATAACTGACAATATTATTGGGCAATGTTATTGGGCAAACATATTGACCGTCTGTGGGCCCCTTTTAGATATGATCGCAACTCAGTCTCCGAAAAGCCTATACCGAATAAGTCAGCAGTTTGAAGAATAAACCGGAGGTATGAAACATAAGGCACTAAGGTATTAAGCACATGGAAATGTAAAGACGAAAATAATTGATCAGGAAGAAAATAACGATGACATTAATATTCTTCATGTTGAAGAAAAGAAAAACATTGAATCTCGTTTATTGGGGATACAGTCACAAAAAGACCACAGGATTTTTCACCGAACGACTTCTTCCGCGTTCCGATGCATCACACGGTATAAAACACTTAAACAAACTTATATTCTTATGGCATTATTGTATAAAGTCTAACGAGTCTGGGAAGATTTCGACAGACGACATCGAAAAAATGACAGAAAATACAATTTACCTCTAAATAAACATGTCAGACAACTGTCATTATCATGAATAAATAAGCAACATTAAATAAACAAATACTTTACCAATAAGTAGAGCCTGTTGCTTATCATTCTCTGCTCTAAGCATCAATTCTTCGTGCTGCTGACACAAATTATCTATATGGTTCTGTAGAGCCTCAATTCGGTCCATCAGCTGCTGAATCTCCGCGTTCTTCTCATTGCCTAACTGCTGCAAAGACTGTTGCAGTCTCTTCTCCAACGAAACCCTAATTTTCTCCCTCTCTTCCGTCAGTTTCCTGACATTTTCTTCATTTTGGCTCCTCAACTTTTCCACGGTTTGCTTAAATTCAACCTCCTTGTTACCGGCTTGATGTGCCATGCTGTTCTTGATCTCGGCCGATCGTTTTTCGGACCTTTCCAGGTCTTTGGTAAGTTTGGCAACGTGGGACTTGAACTGTTCTTGTTTGACGAGCAGTTCTTGCACTTCTTTTTCGAGTTGGAGCTTCTTGTCCTCGCAGGCTTCGAGGTTGGTCTGAGTGTCGAAAAGGACCGCTTCTAGGGCTTCCTTTTCTGATCTGACCGAGGCGAAGATTTCTTGGATGCGTTGGATTTCTTTGTCCATAGCGTCTATGGTGCACTGAAAAAATAAGGATATTTTTGAAGATCTATAAACTCAGATGTGTTAAAGCTGGCAGTAGTAGGTTCATTTAGGGTGGGAGTAAGTGTTATATTTTTGCTATTTTGAGCCCTATTTTCATGATTTTTTTAGCAAATTGTATATAAATATATCAACTTTAATTCGTAAAATCAGTTTTTTATAAACCTAGTATAAATTTTAGTATTTGGCACCTTTTACAGGGTAAATCGAGGGGTTGTTTTTTACCTTAACTTTAAAACACCCTGTGCAATAATTTCGTGTGTATTTTTTTTTAAAATATAGTTTTGCGGTGAGATCCATGTCTCCTGAGCATTTTGCTTTTTGGATCATGTCAATACATGCCTTGGTTAATTTTTAAGAGCGAAATGAACTGGCCACCAACAATTTGCAATTTTTTCATTTATGTATAATTTTTTTTTGAAGTTATTTTTCAATGCGACAAGGCGACTTTATATACGACTATGAACTGCCCATCATGTTCAACGTTTGGTAAATGCTTGGCAGAATGGTTAGAGATTGCGAAGCAGTACAGGGTGAGTCAACGATAGAGTAAAGTCCATTATCTCATTTGTTTTGAGGTTTACAAAAAAATATTAAATATAAAAGTTATAGAGATGGTTAAGATACACATTTTAAAATTATTATACAGTATACAGGGTGCTTCAAAAAAGTGTGGCGACTAAAACATATGATTTTTTAAATGCAACACCCTATTTTTTATTTTATTTTTAGATTCTGCGAAAAATTCCATAACTTTTTTATATATAATGTTATATACCTAAAATTAATAGTTTTTGTTATATTTAAATTTGTTTAAACAAATGTTAGATTGCATTGGGTTAAAAAATTGTCAATGATGGCATTGATTCTGAAGTTGGACAACTAAAATTTGGTAGGAGAATTTTATAGAGATATAGAAAAAGATCTATGTAAAGATATTTTAGTTAGATGTTACAGGGTGTTCAAAATATATTTAGGGATTTCAATTACTTAAAATTAAGGAATTTCAATATTTCATATAAATTGTATATGCTTTATATAATTCCAAGTGTTATATCTTTCATAATATAGAACTACACCAAAAAATTCACTACTGCGATTTAGTTTATTTGAGTAAAGTTAATTAATTTTAACTAATACCAGCAATTATAACTAACAATGAAGCTACTTGTTAAAGGTAAGTAATAAATAGTTTTGTTTTGTCATGGTAACTATGATTTTATAGGGTAATTGTATTAAAATTATGGGTAAAAATAGAAAAAATGGGAATAAATCGCAAACTATTAAAATTAGGGATATGACATACTTAATAAAAGTTGAAGAGTTTTGTAAAATCTATCAGAAAAAATGATAATATATAAGGTGTCCCATTTAAAAAAATTGAGATTTTTTAGTTTTAACTAGTTGAAATTCATAAATATATTTTGAACACCCTGTATCATTTAACTAAAATATCTTTACATATACCTTTTTTTTCATCTCTATAAAACTCTCCTACCAAATTTTGGTACTCCAACTTCAGAAACAATGACACCACTGACAATTTTTTACCACACACTGCAATTTAACATTTGTTTAAATAAATTGAAATATTACAGAAACTATTAATTTTAGGTATATAACATTATATACAAAAAAGTTATGTAATTTTACGCAGAATCTAAAAATAAAATAAAAAATAGGGTGTTGCGTTTAAAAAAAACATATGTTATAGCCGCCACATTTTTTTGAAGCACCTTGTATATTCTATAATAATTTTAAAATGTGTATCTATATAATTAGGGATGGTTAACCCTATAACTTTTATATTAAAATTTTTTTTGTAAATCTTGAAACAAATGAGATAATGGACTTTGCTCTATCGTTGACTCACCCTGTACAAGCTTCATTAAATGAACTTCGCTTGGTCCTAAAAGACTAAGTAGAATAGGAAAACAAAACGCAATATGATATATGTAGCCTCAATGACAGTATGAACGGACGTATACAGGCAGTTATAGCAGCCAAGGGCAGCAATCCAAAGTATTAGGGTATTTTTTACATTTTTTTCGTTTGTTACTTTTAAAAAATAGGCCTTTTGTAGTTATCTTAAATGCTTAAATACCATTATTTTTTGGTGGAATTTGCTATAATAGGTAGTACTGTATGTCAGTTTTATAAATTTTAATAACCATTTAGTAGTAAGTTACATTAGATACATAAATAATTTACTAATTTAATTTTTATTTTAATTTTATAAATTATTGTGATTAATAAAATTGAGTTTATCTCATGGAAGAGATCGAAGTGGACAAAATATCAAAATACAACTTTTAATCGGCATTAAATGGCCTACACAATTTTGCTAATAAGAGGAAAAAAAGTCAGTAGAGTAAAAAAAAATATTACAGTAATAACCCATATGCACGTCCCTGGTGAATATGTCGACACTTTTCTAGCATTAAAATATGTAACACTCATAGTAACTTTTACCCTTAAAATTTCATTCGAATCGCTAAAAGCACTTGGAAGAAAATTAGGGAAAATATATTTTACTGACCAGCATAATTTACTGACAAGCTTAATACGTTACTATACTATCTAAATACGTACAACTACCACCTTAATTTAATAGCAAAATTAAAGTGTTACTAGTCTATTTTTGGGTGGTAGTAGCAAAATTAAGGTGGTAATAGTTTATTTTTGGGTGGTAGTAGCAAAGTTAAGGTAGTAGTAGTTTATTTTTGGGTGATAGTAGCAAAATTAAAGCGGTAGTAGTCTATTTTTGGGTGGTAGTAGCAGAATTAAGGTGGTAGTAGTTTATTTTTGGGTGGTAGTAGCAAAGTTAAATTAAGGTGGTAAAAATTAAGGTGGTATTACTTTCAACTAATCTCAAAAAGGAAATTTTAAATTTGGTCAGTAAAATAGGCACCCCCAGAAAATTATAATAAATCGAAAAAAAATTAAGACTTTAACCTGCTTTTTGAAACACCCTGTGTAATAACATAGCTATTATTTTACTTTAACATAGTGTCTACCTGTTTTTCTTCGCATTCTTTAACCAATTCCTCAAGAGTTCTGTTGATTCTGGCATTGGTCTCGTTGGTCTGTTCCAGCTTTTGGCGACATCTCATCAGTTCTTCGTTCAAAGCATCTCGTTTTCTTCCCATGACCGTCAGCTGATTGCTGAGGTCATTTCTGTCCCTGGTCACTTGATTTAATTCCAATTCGATCTAAATTTCAGAATTTAGAAACATAGATAAATAGAGGAAACTGAAAATAAAATACCTTTCCTTTTTCTATTTCCAAAAATTTACATTTTTCGGATAGCGACACTTTGTCAGACTCTAGATCGAGTTTTTGTTGTTCTGCTTGAAGCAGTTCTTTTCTGAGAGACTGTATATCGTTTTGATGATCGTTGCATTGCATTTGTAAGGCTAGTTTTTCGTCTTCTAACTAAAAATGAGGAGAACATACATTAGATTAGGTTACTTATAACAAATAATTCATATTTTAATACTCTTTTCAAATCGTCCTGTAACTTCTTCTTATCCATTTCCAAATTGGTTGCTATGGTTTCCTTTTTGACCAAAGAGTCTTGTACGTTAGAGCTTTCTCCCATTAGTTTGTCCAGTTGGAGTTCGTAGTCCATTTTGATTTTTTCCAGGTTGGAAATCATGTTCTCGGCTTCCAGTTTTTGTTGTTCCAACATATCGTTGGTCAGGTACATTTTGTTGAGTTCTTCGCGAACAGTAAGCAGCTCTTCTCTCATTCTGCTACATCTGTTAAAGAAGAACAAAAAAAAATGTACAGGGTCCTCTACCGACAAGATTTAATCAATTAATTAATATTTATAAAATTAAAAGAAAATAATAATAAATTTGAATAAACAATATTTGGCGATATAATTCCGGAAAAAGCCGAAGCGCTCCGAAATGTTCAAAAGCTTTGGGTCGCGACCGTTGCAAGAATAGCGCCAACCCAAGCAGCATTTGGACGTCGGGACAACGTTGTGTCAAGCGACCAAACGTCGGGGCGCAACGTCGGCACAACCTCGTGCCAACCCTAGTCTGCACTAATTTGGAGAATAATTTTTGGGTCGAAACGACGTTGGATACCGACGTTGGCTAGAAGCCTAATTTAGTACAAACTGCAACGTTGTTTAAAATCCTAATTCACGGAAATACAAAACTAATATGGCGTCTAAGTCGCGTTTTATCCTAAATTGGGATAATTATAGTAAAAATATTATTTTTATGATTTAGTTAGAGACATATGTCAGATGACAGTGAAGGAAAACAAAACAAAAGTGTTTAAGTGTGGAGGATGTTTGAAGATCATAATTATTGAAACACTTTAACCGACTCTATAACTCGTTACCCAAGGCAAAAAAGTTAAACGCAAACAACTTTATTGATAAATGTATTGTTTCTACTTTGAAAAATACTAATGGGCCTTAAAATTAAAGAAGTTTTAAAAATTTTCTTGATTTTTTTTTTTAGTAAAATGAGAATAATTTATTCGCAGTCGAAAAAATTGTTTCCGAGTGTTTTTTAGGGTCAAATATTTCAAGTTAATGTATTCAAAAAGCAGGAATTGCTATTTTAGGAACGAAACATTTTCTTATTTAACAACATGGCGGCTTTCACTTTGTTGTTTTGGAGATTAAGATGGAGTAGTTCGAGTAGTCGCATACTGGACTAATAAAGTCGCAGTTCGGCCTTAACAAGTAGTATACTAGTCGCAAGATTGCCTAATTTAGTCATCCTAGAGTCTAGCTTGTGCCGCCCTCTATAATCTAAATTAACGAGGGAGTGGATAAACTATCGGTAATATATGTCGATGTATATTTAAATTTAGTTTTATATGTACCTTTCTTATGTCCCATTTTAATTAAGTTTTTTTTATAAAAATAAAAACAGCACTGAACTATCTGACTGAACAGAACAATGAAGTGAAAATTTAAGATTTAAGGTTATGGTTCAATACAGTTGCAAAAAGGTAGTGACTCGACGTCCTACCAACGTAAGAATAAGGAAATCTAAACAACGTTGGAATTAGTAAAACAGACGACGTTTGCATAACGTTGGAATAGGTCCTGAAACTGACGCCGTAAAACTCTATATTGTCCAACGTTGTAACTACGTTGTCCGAATCACCTAAAGATCACTTAGGCAAAAAAGGTTACAAGACAACGTTTATTCGACGTCGCAGAAGCTTCTACTTTGCTGTAGTACTAGTCCAACGTCGGCACAACGTTATAAAAACGTTTAAATTTATTTTAATACCCAAGCTAGGGAGCTAACTATTTTTTGTAACTAATCCAACGTTGTGTTTAGTAAACATGTGGTCGCAAGTCGTGAAAATGCTACTTGGGAAATAGTGTTTACATTGTCCTTATGGGCACTTTCCAATCTAAACTTGTTTCATTTATCTATGTCGGTATACTAAAAAGTGTAAAGTATAATTAAAACCACTAATTTATTCCACCAATTGCGAGGTTCTGAATGAAGCTTTAATCACAAAAATGGGACAGCCTATACCACATTATCGTTAGTTAATAACGCCAGTTCTACCAAAACCGTTCTTACCTGTCTTCCTCTCCTCTTAAACTGATTTCCCTCAGTTCACCTTCCTGATTCAACCTGTCCACTTCCCCCTGCAAAAACATCTTCTCCTGTTGAAAAGCGTCCACTTCCTTTTGTAATTTGTTATTGCTCTTGGCCAGTTTATCGCAGTCCTGGCTCAACGAGTCCAAGGCCGAATTCAGATCGGCCTTGGTTCGTTCCAGTTGGTGTTTCTCCGCTCTGAGAACATCCAGGGTTTTCACTAAGCCGTCGCGTTCCTGAGCGATTTGGGAGCCGCGGGCCTTGCAGGAATCGAGCTGTGCCACCAGGTCCTTAGATTTTTTCTCTAAGGCTGACACCGTGTCTTCGGAGTTGTCTAATTGTTTTCGAACTAGCAACAGTTGCTCCTTATTTGACTGGAGTTTGACCTAAAAGAAATTAAATTAAAAGAAGGTGGAAGGTGGAAGACATGATAATTGATAATATTTGAATTGCAACGAAAAAGAAATCAGGCCATGTTTTTTGTCAGATTTGTATGTTGCCACAGTATCACGAACTTATTTTATTTAACTTAAACAGAAAGAAAGAGAGAACTAAAAGTTCACTCGTCAATTGAAGCCATAATGCAAAAGTACTTTATATTATATACTGGGCGTGTCTTAAAAGTGGCTCACCCCTATCATTTTTTTTATTTTTTCAGATAAAAAAACGAGATTTGGTATGTTAGTGTATGACATAAATTAGGATTGTTTGACGTATTCAATTGTTTTTGGTCACTTCCTGTTTCACCGGAAATGACTGCAGTTTTTGATTTTTAAATGGTACCCTCCATATTTGTTTACTTTATTCCATAGAAAATGACATTCTGAATAGAATGACATATCATATGTCAACTTTTTATATTCTCGCTTAATAAAAAATCGCATTTTAAATTTCAATCTAGAGTGTCTATGTTAAAAACACTAATTCTTAATCAAGGAGCCTTGGAAAAATAGATTTGATCGTCTAATGTGTTTAGAGTATTGTCCTGGCCGATTAAAATATGCCCAAATCGTACTTTAAATCATATCTCAATTTTTTCAAATGGAACACGCAGTGTTATTTTCTATCGAATAAAGTAAAAAAATACCGATGGTGCCATTTAAAAATCAAAAGTTGTAGTCATTTCCGGTGAAACAGGAAGTGACCGAAAACAATTGAACACGTCAATTAATCCTAATTTATGTCATATACTAAAATACCAAATCTCGTTTTTTTTAAGGGAAAAAATAAAAAAGTTATACCTAGAGGTGAGCCACTTTTGAGACGCGCTCGTTATTTTATAAATGAATTACTTATAAATAAACCTGCGGCTCTAAAAAGGTTTCAAAAATATACAGGAAAATTGAAAAACTACAATATTTTTAAAAACTTATAGGCGTGTTTTTTGGTCAACATTCTGTTTTAAGTTTACTGTTAAAATATTAATTTGGAGTTATTTATGAAATATTTTGTAAAATTCTTGAAGAAATTAACATTCTAGGACTGAGGCGCTGGAAAATTTGTTTTTACATGTAGAGCTTCATTCCGAACCTCGTAATTAGTGGAATTAGTGGTTACAATTACATTTTATACTTTTTAGTTTACGATCATTCACGATGTTTATAAAACACAATTAAAATTAATAGAATATCATAGCAACATCTTGCGGTAGTCAGTTGAATCCATAGAGAAAGTCTAATATTCAGCTTATAAAACAATCAACTTTTGATTTCTAACCACAATTTTCTTGACGGAACATAATCAAGGCCCAAAATAACATTTCTCGCAAATTTTATAAAAATTATAATGAGTGGAAAAGTTAAAAGTTTCATAACTTTTTCTACTAATTGAAAATGTCTACCACTAATTTTGATGTTCTGAATGCTCACAGTAAAATTAAAGGAACAAACTTCTACGCTAATTGAAACCACTAATTTCGAGGTTCTGAATAAACGTTTAGTATTATAGCAACAATATTTTTTGTTATTATCAATAATACACGTGGAATAATTATTTTACGACAAACCCAAATTCCATGTTACATTTTTAAAATTGTTTATTGACTATTTCTAAAAAGATATCCTTAATTTCAATGTAAGCATTCAGAACGTAAAAATTAGTGGTGGCCATTTCCAATTGGTAGAAAAATTTAACAACCTTTTAACTTTTCCACTAATTATACTTCAAAATTTGCAAGAAATTCCATTTTGGCCTTTCATTATCATCCGTCAAGAGAAATTGCAAATTAAAAGTTTATTGTTTTATAAGCTAAATATTAGACTTTCTCTATGGATACAACCGACTACCGCAAGCTGTTGCTAGGTTATATTATTAATATTAATGTTAATTGTATTTTTTAGACATCGTGAATGATCGTAAACTAAAAAGTATAAAGTGTAATTGAAACCACTAATTTATTCCACTAATTGCGAGGTTCTGAATGAAGCTTATGAAACAAAAAATAATAAAAACAGGTGTCAGTGCAAGAAAAAAAAAATAAACCATACTGGTGCCTCTGGTGAATCCATTTTTACCTGTAGTTCGTGAATATAAGACTGATATCGATTTAAGGCAGCTTGTACTGCCGAAATGGTACTTTCAGCGAAGGCTGCTGGAGATGTTAGACCTCGAACAGTTCTTCTTGGAGATCTATAATTGTTAGTAGGAATTGAAGTTGAGATTTTGAGGATTTAGTTAGATGATTATAGAGTTATCACAGAACAACTTACTTTTGAGGTATAGGCGTTGAAGCACTCAAATGTAAGTGAGTTGCTTGTAAGATTTCCAGTTCCTTCGTGTCCGCATCTTGTATAAGAGCCTCGGCTATATCTCTAAGAGCGTTTTGCAAAATATCGACGTCATCTTGCATTTTTATTACTTGTGCGACATTTTGGTCCGATTCGGCACATTTTTCTTCCTAGAAAGACACAGATTTCTTTTACTCACTCTAGGATGAATAGCCAGAGTTGGGCGAAAACGCATCGACGATACGTCGACTATGGAATAAATGTCGACAATGTCAAGAACATCACAGGTGTAGGTTAATTAAGTATTAGAGTATTATTAAGAGTCCATTTCACTGGTCCGAGAAAGTAACAAAATAAGCGTTCGGCATTTAGCGTTTTAAGTAAAACTGGCTAGGTATTTTGACACAAATGAAGAAGGAAATTAAAGATAAAGGATTATACTATGTCGGTATTGTAGCACATTTTTAGATAACTTCTTTATTTTTAAGATTTGATGGTTAAACATCGACAAAATATACCTTATGTTTAAACTAAAATTTCTCGAAAATAAAGAAATAATTTAAAATTCCGTTACAATACCGACAACGATTGAAGTTTTGTTATTACAGTGATATATAATTGATATGGTTTTGTAACAAATTGTTCGCTATTTTATGGTAAATTCTGAAGCTCTGCAAGCCTTCTGATGAGCAAGATTTCTGAAATCTATACTAATATATAAAATCCTTAAGTGACTGACTCACTGATTAATCACGATCCTGCTCAAACCACTCAACGTAAGAAGCTCAATTTTGGCATACAGGTTGATTCTAGGGTGTAGAGGTTCGATAAGAAGGGATTTTCGAAATTCCAGTTCCAAGGGGGTGAAACCACCCCTCAAATATTACAATATTTTTTATTTAAAAAACGGTCAAGTTTCCGAAAAAACGCTTAAACATGTATATTTTATTTTGTTTTTTTACATATTTTAAGATTTTTAAAAAATGTATATATGTTTAGAAAAATCTGATATTGATGTTTCGAAAAATCTGATATTGATTAATCACGATCCTGCTTAAAGCGTTTGACGTAAAAAGCTGATTTTTGAAAAACGGATTGACTTTAGGGTTTTCGGAAAAAACTCTTAAACACGTATATTTTATTTTGTTGTTTTACATATTTTAAGATTTTTAAAAATGTATACAGGGTGTTTCATAAAATATGACCATTGAGTAATCACGATTCTGCTTAAACTCCTTGATGTTTAAAGCTGATTTTTGGCAAACGGATTGACTGTGGAGTGTAGAGGTTCGATAAGAAGGGGTTTCTCGAGTCTCAAATTCCAAGAGGGTGAAAACGTCCCTCAAATATTACAATATTTCTTATTTAAAAAGCGATTAGTCTTTCGAGAAAACGCTTGGACACGCATAATTTATTTTGATTTTTACATGTTTTGAAATTTTTTAAAAAATAATACAGGGTGTTCCAAAAAGTTGGGTAATTGATTAACCACGATTCTGCTTAAACTGCTTGACCTAAAAAGCTTATTTTTGGCAAACGGATTTTTCGAAAGTCAAATTCCAACAAGATGAAACTACCCCTCAAATATTACCAAGTTATATAATAATATCGCAATATTGTTTTTTTCTCATGCTGACATAAATGTGAGAAAATTTTATCCAGTTTGTATGTTAATGGAAATTCTTGCTTTGGTTTATCATCACCATTACAAATGATTAATTCGACGCGAACGAAGTCGCGGGTACACGCTAGTATAATATATATTTCCTTCGGTCGCACACCCGCTGAATCCGACCCCTTAAAGCGACCCAAACAGTACAGCGTAATAAACCCTTAAGTCTCCCTGATCAATTAATTGTAATATTATTGGTTATTTAGTTTGTCTTTGGCTATCCTGTAAATATCACAAGCGGTAGTTATTGTTTCCCCAGTTCAATTAATTGCACATTAATTACACTACACTTTAGGTCTATAATTATGAGTTATTAAAAATGTTGAAATGTAATAATGTAGTAATGTTGCCTCAGTAGTCCTATTTAATACTTTTATTTTCCCTTCTTCTTAAAATAAAATAACCACTAATATTTTGTCATCTGCATTCTTAGAATATTAAATAGAATGTCATTAATTGAACATTCAAAAATGGTCCTGTTATATTTTATTATCCAAAATGAAATGACTCTGATTCAGTATTCAAGTTACTGAGCAACGTAGAAGATAAAAGATAATTTTATTAATTCTTATGTTTAGCTGAGGATGCTTTTAATAAACGTTTATTCTATGATTTTAATTTTTAATCATATAACTTTAACTGTAGCTATCATTTTTATACCAATTATTAGCTGTCGACACCATAGTTGACGTGTCAACAATTAAACTGTCGACACGCCCAACTCTGACGATAATAAAAATAACATAATTCAGCCTTTAATCTGTTACTTACCATGGTTTGAATATCATGAAGCAGTTGCTGAATCCTGTCATCTCTAATCTGCATTTCAGCTTCGTATTTGATTTTTTCCGTCTTCAATGTTTCAATCTCCATTTCCATGTCGCTGGTTTGGTATCTTTCCGGATGATGGTGGTGTTTTTCTTTACCTTGATGCCCGGCACCCTCAACAAAACTCTGAGCAAAGACGTTGGAGTCGGTTCGTGAGCAGGCCATCAACATTTCTCGGCCAGCTTCGGATATTTCTGCCTTAATTTTGTGCAAGTCTCGTTCAGTGTTCGACTGGATGTCCATAAAGTGTCTTTTGACTGATACCACGTCTCTCCAGAGGTTCAGGAGACGGTTGTGTTCAGTGCTGTATAAAAAAGAGAAAAAAACATATGCAGAGTCAGGCAATAGTGCGTCAGGCATCTAGCTCCTAACATATAAAACTTAGGAATTATGTGTAAGTGCAAATCTAAAGTATGTATTAGGGTGGCTCAAAAAAGTGTGAGTGGGTAGGAATGATTTTTTTTGGAACACTCTGTATATTTTTGCATTTTTGGCTTCTTTTCTTATCACTTTACATAGTCCTAAGATATTTTTAGATATGTTTTGATAGTTTCAGAGATATTAATAATAATAATAATAATAATAATTTATTTTCAGAAACAAAAATTACAAAATAATAATAATACATTGTAACTCCTACAGAGATAAATAAATTATCTGTGTGTAGGGCTGGATGTACCTATATTATAATCAACAAACTACTAATACATAATAACAATAATTAATACTAACCTAACCTAGTGCGCCAAACATGACTATAAATGATAATAGCGCGTTGCTGTATTCACTTGTTATATGAGTCATGAACCATAAAAACCACAAAAAAAAGTTTCTATAACATAATTATCTTTTAAATCAAACATTAATTCTAACCCAATTTTTATTTTAGTTTTAATATTATGTTTTGACGCTGTTAGTGATTTTAACTCATTTGGTAACCTATTATATAATTTTATTGCTAAAATATAATTATTTTTATTGCTTACTCTTTTAATCATTTTGGGCAACAGTATACTTTTGTTTCGTGTTATACTTTCTGATTGTAAATATATTGCTTTAAGACTATTGTAGTGATAAATTAAAGATTCTAAAGAAAAAAGTTGTTCTAAATTAAGTGGTAAGTTTGTTGTAAATAAAGTGTTTTTACTGATCATTTTTATTTTTTTTTTCTGTAGATTATTCAAAACATTTAAGTTATTCATATAAGCACCTCCCCATGCTATAATTCCATAGCTTACAACACTATGGAAAAAAGCATAGTAAATTAACATTAGTGTTTTAGTGGTCATAATTTGTTTTAGTTTATAAAAAATTATTGTTAAGTATTTTGTTTTGCTTATAACATGATTTATGTGCTCATCCCAACTAAGTCTATAATCAAAAATTACCCCCAAATATTTACACTTTTTAGGCACTTATTATTAATTTTTATTTCTACCCGGTCTGGCACACTATCACAGTAATTTCCAAAGGTGATAAAAACAGTCTTATCTCTATATTCAATGATAACTTATTTAATGCTAACAATCTTGAAATTTTCTCCAAATAAAGATTCATGTTTTATATTGTTTCCTCCCAAGTTTTTCCTGCAGAAATAACTGCTGTGTCATCTGCATATGACATTATTGTATTTTTTGATAAAGATTCCAAGATGTCATTCACATAAATTATAAACAAAAGGGGTCCAAGTATTGTACCTTGTAGAACTCCTACTTTTACCTCTCGATAAGAACTTATAGTATGATTGACTTTAACTCTCTGTTTTCTGTTGTTTAGATAACTATTTAACAACCTATGTGCACTTCCCCTTATCCCATACTGATATAATTTATCTAATAGCAACTTGTGATTGACCATGTCAAAAGCTTTAGCCAAATCTGGGAAAGCTACAATTATTGGGATTCCTTTATCCAGATTATTATAAACTATATTTGCTATATTTGAAAATGCATCTCTAGTTCCCATATTCTTAAGAAAACCATATTGATTCTCTGAGATTATTTTGTTATTTATTATAAAGTTATATAACCTATTATGGATTATTTTTTCAAGAATTTTTGCAGTGTTTGAAATTAAAGAGATGGGTCTATAATTATGTGTTTTATTTTTCTCATTTGCCTTATACAGGGTGTTTCAAAACAAATGCGAAAAACTTCAGGGGGTGATTCCTTGTTCAAAATAAAGGGTAGTTTGCTTCATAAACGTTGGGTCAAAAGTAAAAGCCGACAAATTAACAAGGATCATCAGACACGTATCTTGATCCAGAACCTGTACTGAGAATATCCAGGTATATGGCCCGTAGTAGTATTGAGCAATAAAAATAATTGGAGGAAAGAAACGAATATCTATTAAAATTTTTGTTCAAAAATTATAAAATATTCGGAGAATAGTTGTTCCGAATTTATACCTGCTTGGTAAAATCTGTCCTTAAAATCAAAAAAAAAACTTTTTTACCTATAATAATCATTAAATGCTTGTTCTTCATCTTTCCACTCATCTTCTTTGAGCAACATCTCCTCCCTGAGCGTTTCAAAGTCATTGGTGAGTTTCTGTAGATCGGCAGTGAGGGTTTCGTTTGTATTGTGCGATTCTTCCAGTTGATCACGCAGGATTTTGTTGAGCTGTATCAATTTTTCAGACCTGAAACCAGTCGTTGATTATCTTTTAAAGCATTTTGATGAAAAAACTTGTTACTTTTTTCGTTCTTCGCTTAATTTTTGTAGAGCAGTCTCCAGATCTGAGATACGGTCCTCCCTGGATTCCCTCAGGTGTTGCTGGGCTTGTTCCAAAGCTGAACTGGGTCCAGGAAGACTAGGATAAGTTTTCAGAGATGAAGGTTGTTCGGAATATTCAGCCATTTGTGATTCGAGATCGGTACATCTCTGTTTGTACTGCAAGACCTGGAAAGAAGTCGTTAGATTAAGGATTGTGTTATATTAACTTATATTAACAATATCTTAACAATATTGAAGAAATTATGCCTCTAGGTGTTACGATATGATCTAAGGTCGATTACACTGGTCTGCATGAAAATGACGAAAGGTTATACCTGGGGGTATAGATCATGGGAATAAAATTCTCGAAAGCTTGACAAATTTGAAAAAGTAGTTTTATTAGCCTGTGTGGTGATTACTGACTGCATCCTCACTTAAATTTTGAGTGTTAACTTAGTCAGTCACGACTAAACCTTTGTCAAAGATATATATTTTTGTTTATTATTGTTTACAGCTAAAACAAAAAAAAAATAAAAATTATCATTATTATCGAAAAGTAATGAAAATATGATAAAAATAGAGAGGGGAGCTCCCACGAAAATGGTGGGAATTCGAATAAAACGGAACCTATATTCAGGATTCATTTGGTTTCACTTTACATAAGAATCAGCAAGAATGGTTCCAGGGCTTTTCTTTTTTTTGTAGACCAGTGTTATATAAGATATTTTTTGTTGAAAATACTGAAGATAAAATTATATACTTTGGCTTGTAGACGACTGACAAGTGCCGCCTGGTTCTGCTGAGCTTGTTTGTAAGTATCCAGTCGTCGTCTATAGAGGGCAGCCTCGTCTTGAAGTCTCTGACGTAAGTCTTGCTGTTGGCGGTCTTCATCGCTGCTGCCGCCCCCGTCCCCGCGCAGCCTACTACTGTCGCCACGACTTCCGCTGGCGCTACTAGTCTAGAAATCGATTGAAAATAGAGTTAAGAGACATATAATATGTATAAACTAGATTATACAGGGTTGTTCACCACATACGAAACGGAGTATTGTAGCTAAACGACTAGATTTTTACAATTTGTAAGTTTTGGGTTCATTGAAGGACTGTTAGAGCTACAATTTAAAAATATTTTTACAAGATACAGAGTGTCCCAAATAAATAAAAAATATCAAAGTTGTATTTTTTTAAATGGAACACCCTATATATTATTACGCTTTTAGTTTCTACGATTAAAATTAAGGTAAATTTGATTAAGGTTTATTACACTTAAACCTTACCGTTTTTGAAATATTTTCAATTTTGTGAAATTGCAGTATAAATTTTAAGGCTTCATTTCTCCGAGGGTATTAAAGTTTTTAATACTAAGTATTTATTAAAGTTTATTTATTGATCAGTTATTGTGTTGCAATAATAAAAACTTTACTACCTTATACGGAGTGTCTAAAAATTTATTTAAAATAATTACTAGCTTTAAACGGCAATAACTTGTTTAATTTAAATGGAACACCCTGTATATTTTATGAGAATCAGATGCACAATTTAATTGTTTATCAAATTGTATTATACCATTTTTTACCTATCTCTTCAAGTTCCGTAGAAAATGCATTTTCTTTTAATTTAGAACTCATTTATCAATATACCCATGAAATACTGACATTTTAGATTATTTTTAAAGATGTACCAAATTTTTAAATAGTACAGATACTAATATTGTCGATATAGTTCGTGTATTTCATTAAAAAAATAAAAAAAAAATGTTTAAATATTTTTTAAAGAGGACCAATTAATATGATTCCAGTATTCAAACTACATTAATTGACTTTTTGCGTCGATTAATAATAATTGCTCCAAATACTAAAAAACTGAATTATGTATGTGTATTAGACAGTGTGGTAAAAAGTAACTCCTTAAAAATGATATTTCATTTTTTGACAAATGCTTATTTATAACAACAGAGACGTTCATTTTCATAACTTATTATTATATTGATTTCTGATTCAAATACACATTTATTTAGAATAATTTATTAACGAACATAATTAAGTATGTAGTTAATTAGTATTTGGGCGGAAATACTGGTGGTATATTTAATTAATGGTATACTCATTTATAAAGATTTAAATAGTTTTCTTTTTGCATACAAATGGGCTAGTAATATTATCGTTTTACTAAAAACGATAATATTACTAACCTGTACATTTTGTATATTTGTTGTTTTAAAAACAATCTAAAATGTCAATATTCCATGGGTATATTGATAAATGAGGTCTAAATTATAAGAAAATGCATTTTCTACGAAAACTTGAAGGAATAGGTAAGAAATGGTATAATACAATTTGATAGACAATTAAATTGTGCCTCTGATTCTCATAAAATATACATGGTGTTCTATTTAAATTAAATAAGTTATTGCCGTTTAAAGCTAGTAATTATTTAATATAAATTTTTAGACACTGTGTATGAGGTAGTATAATTTTTATTATTGCAACACAATAACTGATCAGTAAATAAACTTCAGTAAATATTTAGTATTAAAAACTTTGATATCCTCGGAGAAATGAAGTCTTAAAATTTACACTGCAATTTCGCAAAATTGAAAATATTTCAAAAACGGTAAGGTTTAAGTGTAATAAACCTTAATCAAATTTACCTTTATTTTAATCGTAGAAACTAAAAATGCAATAATATACAGGGTGTTCCATTTAAAAAAATACAACTTTGATATTTTTTATTTATTTGGGACACTCTGTATCGTGTAAAAATATTTTTAAATTGTAGCTCTAATAGTCCTTCAACGAACCCAAAACTTTTTGGGTTCAAACCAACAATTTGTAAAAAAAACAACAATTTGTAAAAATCTAATCGTTTAGCTACAATATTCCGTGTCGTATGTGGTGAACAACCCTGTATACCTATCCTAAAAATCAATTACATACCTTTCATAGATAAATGAAACAAGTTTAGATTGAAAAGTGCCCATAAGGACAATGTAAACACTATTTAGCGCTATTCTTGCAACGGTCGCAACCCAAAACTTTTGAAAATTTCGGAGCGGTTCGGCTTTTTCCGGAATTATATCGCCAAATATTGTTTATTCAAATTTATTATTATTTTCGTTTAATTTTATAAATAAAATACAGTGTGTTCCATACAACAAACTTTATTTTATATAAGGACGCATGTATGAAATACCTATGAAACATTGGAAACTGACGTTATGCCACGATCTACGATGGTTTTTGCAGTTCACAGTTCACAGTTCACAGCACAGCTTTTTAAGTTTTTAATGCCACTTTTTCACAATTATCACCGGTTGAAGTAAACAAAATTTGAATTAAGCTCACAAGATAGCAATAATTACTTTGAAAATGGACGCTATAAACACTTTTAGGAATTTCTTTAATGAGAGCGGTTTAGATTTTGAAAGATTATTATGATCATATTATGATTTTTGAAGATTCTGACTTTAACAAGAGAAAATTATTTCTGTTTTTGTTTGCCGTTCGGTCGCGACCCAAAATAATTTCGCGACCTAAAATTTATACGGGCTTTCTAATCTAAACTTGTTGCATTTATCTATGATACCTTTGTTCAAATAACACCATGCATGACAATGTCAATATGACAGTAAATAATATTGATGTCACTAGTTAAATGTCTTAGTTAGATGTCTTAGTAAAAAATGAGCGATTTGAAAAGTATTCCCTCTAACATTGAAGAAGAGGCGTTCAGAGCCATTTCTGGATTGCTTCCAGCAAGATCTATTCCAAACAGCAGTTTGTTTGTATTTAGTAGGTATTTACTGCAAAATAAATGTCTTACAAAATATTTTTTTTCTCTTTGGTAGTCATCTTCTAAACAAGGAGTGCGGTAAAGAAAATGCGTGAATTAAGAAGCTCTTAACTCACTCAAAATGCGTGAGTTAAAAGAGCTTCTTAACTCACTAACGTAGATAAAGGTACAGTTTGACAAATATAGGAAGAGACTTGGGGATAGCACCGGTTGCGCACACGATAGAGAGAGAACGCATTCGGCGCAAGAGAGATGCAGTTACGCTGCAACAGTATAGTGTATATAAAAATGATCTATGTAGCTAGACTTCGTCCATATAATTTAATTTTTGTTAATAAAGATCTTTATGATTATTTTTATTAAAAACAAAAAACGAAATTATTATGGGATTCTGAAATTAAATATTACTACTTAATAGGAAGTTTGACACCGGAAATCTGAAAAAAATCCGGGTGTTTCTGAAAAGTGGTTCACTTCTATAACTTTTTTAATTTTTTAGATAAAAAACGAAATTTGGTATGTTAGTATAGGACATATATCAGGATTGATCGACGTTTTCATTTATTTTCGGTCACTACCTATTTCACCGGAAATGACAACAACTTTTTATTTAAATGGTACCCTCGGTATTTTTTACCGTATATGATAGAAAGTGATATTCTAAATAGAATGATATATTATATGTCAACTTTTGACATTTTCAATTTAAAAATGGCCATAAATAAACGTAACGACAATTTTACTCCAAATACCAAGTATGTGGTACCAAATTATTCGTAAAAAATGCTTTTTCCAAATATGCTGAGCCAGCCTCGTACCATTTGAAAAATTTGAGTTATCATTAAAAATACGATTTGGGCATCTTTTAAGCGGTCATGAAAGGATACGAAAAAAAATTACACGATCAAATATATGTTTCCAAAGTTCTTTGATTACAAATTAATAGTTTTAACTCAGTCTTGGCAATCTAGACTGAAATTTAAAATGCTATTTTTATTTAATTGGAATTGTCTAAAATTGACGTATGGTATGTCATTCTATTCAGAATGTTATTTTCTATCAAATAAAGTAAAAAAATACTTAGGATACAATCTAAAAATACAAAGTTGTAGTCATTTCCGGTGAAACAGGAAGCGACCGAAGGTAATTGAATACGTCAATCAATCCCGATTTATGTCATATACTAACAAACCAAATTTCGTTGTATTATCTGAAAAAATAAAAAAGTAAAAAAGTGAGCCGCTTTTGAGAAACACCATTAATTAGCTAAAAATACACTATAACGAATAATCTACCAAAAGACCCCTGTGATCCTCCGCCTGCTATATATTGATTCTTCAACGACAAAAGTTCTTAAACTGTTTACCGGTTAATTTATTTAATAAAATGCTTGCACTCGAAATTCGGGCACTCGAAAAAAGAGCGACTACCTAAACGCATCCTAGATCTATACAGCAAACTGGTTGTCACATTCTTCCCCGCACCTCAGTCCTCGGGACCGATGCGATGGGCTGTGCCGTCGTTTACGACCTGCTGCTACGAGTATATAGTGTGAATTATATATGTTCGCGAACGTTTTGTTCGAGTAGCTTGGACGCGGCTTAAAAGTATTGAAGCCTTGCAATGTCCGCCATCTCCTACGTTATACACAATCTGTATACTGTATATTTAGGCATTTATCACTTTAAAGTAATTTTTGTCTCGAAAAATACAAAATTTTAATTTTTTTTTGCGAAAAAAACCATAGACATGTTCCTGGGGTCGAAATACACCATCCCTAAAAATATTTGCACTAATTTAAGACTCAGCCTGTATATTATAATATTACAATAAATCTTTGTACTTGTTTAATAAAATTAAATGTTGCCCTTTGGTATATAAAAATTTTGTAATCAAAAAAAAAATCAGGATCCAAAAATTTCCCTGGTAGTCTAGAATCACTTCGATGACAACAACAATAAAATAATTCTAGTGAAATTATGAAAAATTCATCCTTACATCAGTCCTGGACTTCGGCCTGTAAATCGGTGGCCTTCGTCTCTCCATCTTCGTCTGGTCGACCTTTTTTACCGGTGGCTGCAAAAGAAAGACAAAGACACAACATTAAGAAGAGTTAATACATAAATATACAGGGATGTTCGTTGTTCTGAAAATTGCCTTTTGTTCAAATTTCAGGGATGCATAAATAACATTTTTTTAATAAGATATACAGTATGTCCCCGGATTATCTTTACAAGAGGATTTTTTTTATTATTGACATTTTGAGAAAAATGCATTCTTCATAAAAAATTTTGCTTGTTCTAAAAAGGTTTAGTTTAAAATTTTCCAAATTTCCTTACCGTTTTAGAAAATATTAAAAAAAAAACATGAAAATGTAGTTGAATTCATAAAAATTAAAAGGAGTTTCTATGATAATATAATTAATTACGATTTCATTCTTTAATGGTTATAATTAATTTTGATTAATTGTAACCATTAGGGATAATAACATTCAAGGGATAGAAGACAATGAAAAAGCAAATGATCTAGCTAGAAAAGGAGCGAACACTCCACTAATTGGACAAGAACCGTTCTGTTTTCCAAGCGGGAACCAAGTGAAAGCGGAACTGAAGAATCTGGAAGATTCCATCCGTAACCTGGAATGGTTGTCCTCCAACGGTCTAAGACACTCAAGAAAGTTCCTCAGAACTTACGACCGAGAAAAATCAGAGGTTTCCCTTGATTTAAGTAAAAACAATCTTCGGATTGTCACAGAGGACACTGTCTCCTCAACCTCAGTAGGCTGAAGCTGAGAAACAACGGCAAAAGCAGATTCTGTGGCGAAAATGGGAAAACACCAGCACACCTTATCCTGAGTGCGCCAAGACGACGACCGTTCGTGCCATGAACTTTGGTACGGCTGATGTCGAGGATGGAGAGCTGGCCTCTGTTAAGCCGTCTCAGATACTGGCTTTGGTTAAAGCTCTGAGACTGGATGATGAGTTATAACTAAAGAAAGGGGAATGCACAATAGATCCGTAAGGTCGCGGTGATTAACTCCCCTCCTACACGTTCTACAAGCAATAAGGTTTTTCAAAAATCTGAAAGGATCATAATATGTTTATCCTCGCAAAACTACAATTCTATCCCCATTTAACCGACTCTCTAATTCCAGTAGTTTCCGAGATACCCATAAAGAACATCGTAGAAAACTCACCCTGTATATGTAATATATGATTATACTAACAAAAAAGGCTAAACGTCTCAGCGGGCATATCTGCCCATCGTCCGATGCAAAAAAAAATAAAAAATCTATTTAAACACAATTATTTTATGTGCATGTACTATTGAACTTAGGCCCACGAAAAAATTATGAACAGCCCTGTATACACATAATTGTCTTAAAATACACATTAAAGATTCAGTTGATGAACTTTATCAATAAGCGGGATAGTTTTTTTTCTACGGCGCTGTCAACAATGTTGGACACTGTCACATAATAATGGTGACAGTGATAAGCGAGACGGTATTTTTTTTAATTGAGCGTAACTTACACAAAATTCGTAGAAACCAGCCGTACTTTGCTCTGTGTAATGATCCAGGGGTTAGACGGGATATCAGTGGCTTGCAGTCCGTTAGTTAATATGTACGTTCCTCATGTGCAATTCATTATAAATTTGAAAAGCTGACAAACGGTGTTTTTTTAGCGATAAACTAACAATAAGTCGATCGTCTCGATTAGAAGTTCTCATGCGAAGGTTCCTGGATGTCTACATTGACGTCCTCAAGGACGGTCATAATTCAAAAACCACTCAATAGCAAATTCAGTGAACTAAACAATTATAAAGCATTTCATTTGAAAAACTAAAACCTAGTGTAAAAATATATTTGATTCACCCTGTATATCTATAAAAATATTTGTGAAATGTAAACTATTATTAAACACATATTTTGTAAAAGGTGTGGAGTGAAAATCTCAAATAGGAATCCTGATATAGAGCTTTTTCGGAACACGGAGCCATCTTGTATGTATGCATTTGTATTTGTGTGTTTATTTAAATACTAAAATGAAAGCAACGAACTAGGCAACGAATTTAAATGGGTGAACTTTGTAATATATCTTATTAATAATACAATGCAAAAAGTTTTATAAAAATTCGTTCACAGTAAATGAATTCCAAGGTTTGTATCGCATAAGGGCTTAAAGCACTTCACTAGTATGCGCGATCATAATTAATATTTTGTCGTATACTAAGGGCTAGCAAAGGTTAGTCTTGGGTCGAGATTTCCGTATGTAAGAAGAGTACAATGCGTTTATAATGTACTGAACAAAGAGAGGACAGTAAACATGTTGCCAAACGTATGAAATAAATCGAGAAACTGTGCACAGTGCACATCGCTAAGAGACGTGGAAGGGGATATAGCAGATTTGTCGCAGTTGACCGGTCGACCCAATCAATACCTTTGTCAGTGTCAGTACTTAAAGTTCTAGGGAAAGGTTTTCGTCATGCGTTCAGCTTCACGATTTAGTTACGTCTCGTGATACTTGATTTGTTTATTTATTAACGAGTCGTTGTAATTTTCCCTATAGCTTGAATTTTTTTAAGTGCAAGCTAGAAACACTTGCATTTTTGGTAAAAATAAGTGGAATTGAGTGGGTGTTCGATATTGGTCGCGCTATTAGAACTCTGAATTCAAAAATCGATATCTCGAAATCTATTAGAAATAATAGATTGTAGATTTTTCAAGAACTTTGTTAATATTTCTGCTGTATTTTCTTTGTAGACAGTATGTGAAAATCTTTATCAATAAAAAAATTACACGATTGCTGAAAATTGCTATGCTCTAAAAGTAAATGGATGGATTGTTTACAATTTTTGAATGGAAAAAAAACCTTATCGAATTTTTCTTATGTAAACATATTGTAAAATATCCGATCTTGAAAATAAAAAAAAGTTTCAATATCTAAAGTGGTTCTTGAGTTATGGCCTGTTATGAGTTAAAAAGTTGAGTTTTTAAAATATCGCGATTACTGACGTTTTCTCGATATAAAAAAATGATACCCTAACGATATCCTTATAATTCCATTTCAGATGCTCAGAAACATGTCTAATGATTTTATCCAGTTATCTCTTGAAAAAAAAGTCTTAAAAATAAGCGGTTTACGATCGTGATTTTACTTTACTTGATAGGGAAAGGCGTGTCGGCAACGCCGCAACAGCACACCGTCGCCCGTCGCGTCGGTCGGTCGTATTTCTCTCACTCCGACTTAATAAGATCCCTATCCGATTTACTTCCACACATGTAAATGCCGACCCAAAAGTAACAGTTGCCAGCACGGTATACAATATTCTACGTTCGTTCCCACAGCATCACAAAACTGTCTAAAATAGTTAACCGAATTAGTAATCTATGTGTTTTTGTTTACCACATATCTATGACTTGGTTTGATCAACTACATTTGACAAGTTTCTGACCGTTTTGGATGCTTGTGGGAACAAACCTTTTGTCGGATGCCGGTAGGTGCAGATCGTGTGGAAAATTGCGTTGATTGTTTTAATATTGGGTATATTGCACCTTGTCATTGAATTTTGTCTTGTTTCTTTTATATAATACATGTATACGGAAAAAATGGGAAAAGTTCACTTTACTGAAGCAAATTGGAAAGCTTTATGTAGAATGTGAATACACCAGGGAATACACAGTGCGGTTGCTTTACACCTTTCTATAGATAGGAGTATTTTGGCGAAAAAACTAAATACTCCGAACCTCAGCATAAATACTCCGAACAGCACTGAGTTGAGCGCTTTTAGTTCAACTCAGTTAAACGAACTGTTATCACTTTTCGTCTCACTAGTTCGCGCGTCACGGCCGTCATGATACACGGCCTTGAATTTTTACCCCCAACGCGCGTAACTTTTCACTTCAAAAATTACAAAGTTTTATTTTGTGCTGACATTATTAAAGCAATTCCAGAATAATTAGTTACATGTAAATTTAGGTTTTATGATTATACACTCCAACTTTCTTGATCCCATTTCAAAATTCTACGCCACTGGACGACATTTTTCCAGTATTCCTCAAATTCCAAGAAATCAAATCGGACTTTGAGCCAATTATTATGTCTCATACATAACTGATGGTGAAAAAATAGAATTTATAATTAAATAGCACATGTCTTCGATTTCAATAAACATTCAACAAGCGTGTTGTAATTGGATGTAATTATGATTCCGCAATTTTTTGGTAGTTTGCTACTACTAATTATTGATTATTGTAATTAGTTAAAGAAGACGGAATTTGATAAGAAGATGCTGGCGAGCAATTTTCGACATTTTTGTTAGTCCTTAGAAAATCTTACATCAATTTGTTTAGTATTATAAAACTTATAATGAGTTATATCTGCCGTTTTTAATTATAGCGCGTTTGATTTTAATGCAAAAATTTAGATAAGATAACATATTCTCTTTGATATATATTCACTTTTTAATAGTTTTTTGAGCGATTGGAAAATCATTTTTTTCCATTTTGGTCAATTTTTGTTCTAAGCATGCAGACTTTTATGCTGAACCCAATATTTCATGCAAAAAAATGGGGGGTTCCAATTTAAAAAAAAAATACAATTTTTTGAGGGTATATTTAGGATATGCACAAATGAAAAAAATCAGTACATGTATATTATTTCGTATATTTTACATTTTATTGATTTTATGAAAAGAACTGTTCATTAAAATGTTGTATCCTATGTTATAGGGCTTGTTTCTCTCTACAATTTCCTCTCTCACAATGTACCGTTTGTGTCATAAGTTTTTATGTAAAATAAATATTTAAAATAGACCAGCAATTTTTAATACCCCTGTATAAATTTAAGGAAGGAATAACATTTTTCTGTAAAGTTTATTTCTCTACCTTTAAACTCAGCACAAGAATTTATTCTGAAAAGTAATGTACAGGGTGTTGATAATCTATTTTATTGTAGCATGCAAATCTATACTAATATATAAAATCCTTAAGTAACTGACATACTGATTAATCACGATCCTGCTCAAACCACTCAACGTAAGAAGCTCAATTTTGGCATACAGGTTGATTCTTGG